AGACTCTGAACTCCGTCCTGTTGCCTTGCAGGTCTGGCTTTCTAGCCAAATGCTTCGGGTGGGGACACCGGCGCTTTTTAAGACGGTAGTGCTGTGGCATTTGAACTTTTTACCCTTTATATTCGTAGAGTGTCGAGAGACCATTCGCGTTAGTTGTGTTCTACCAACACCTGTTTTTTTACTCCGAGCAGATGCTGCTTGTTGATCAAGTTTTATTTGCTGAATCGTGAATGCATTAAGACGGTTTGTTACGAAAGGGCTAGATGTTTCTAATGTCCTTTGTTTCGTGGAAATTAGCTATTCATTGCAATTGGTCAACTGGGTTTTCCGCCAAAACCATTTCGTCGACATGTGTCATGTACGATTTATGTCCAGAACGATTTGGCTGCATCTCAACATGGTGCATACTGCAGAAAAAACATCAAATACATAGGAATTTAGCAAGACAACAAAGAAGAGTAAAATGCAGTGAAACGGACAAACATAAAAGGGGGGAGGGATTAAAAAGACTGTCACCAGGGTAAGGATAAACTAACATAAAGTTGTTTTTGTTGATGCACGGGGGCTTCCATCGACTGGTAGCAATCGCTTGTGCAAATCGTAGGAATCTTAGGATTTGTGACTTGTAGATAATCCGATACGCCATGCTTCGGTTGATCTGGTGTTGCGACATCAGAAGATGTCGAGCTGTGGCTACGTGGGCAGGACAGAGCGACAGTTANCAGTTACGCAGCCGGATGGTTGAACACATTCTTAATTGGGTTCAAAGTCGCAGGACGCAATCTGGGTCAGTTACGCGGCATAGAAACAACGGTCGAAACTACAAGACTCCGTCATCAGCCATTGCTCGATATCTGATGACGCAACACCAGATCGACCGAAGCACTACGTTTCGGATTATCACAAGATTGCTACGGTTTGCAGAAGCGAGTGCCATCAGTCGATGGAAGCCCCCGTGCATCAACAAAAAGAACTTTATGTTAGTTTATCCTTACCCTGGTGACAGTCTTTTTAACCCCTCCCCCTTTTATGTTTGTCCGTTTCACTGCATTTTACTCTTCTTTGTTGTCTTGCTAAATTCCTATATATTTGATGTTTTTTCTGCAGTATGCGCCATGTTGAGATGCAGCGAAATCGTCCTGGACATAAATCATGCAGTATTGCAATTTGGTCTTCTCTTTTGAAGTATCTCATGTAGTTTTGGAGCTGGAGTAACTGATCTGCTAACCGTTTTTGTTTTATCACCACGAGGCTACAGGTCTAGAACAACTACTCAAACATCTTCGGCGAACTGGTTAATAGATTTGCTCAAGAAAAGTGGTATCCCTTGTATCGTTTCTGTGTAGAGAGGATAAAATTCTTGATTTCTGTCGGGAGTTTTTTCTGTGATAAATTGCGCTCGTCTCTTACCTTGTTTCTCCGCGGTGGTTGGTGCCTCGGATATGGTATGGCGTTTTCAAAATGCATAATCCTACTACTTAATGTTACATAGTAGCGTAATTCTGAATGACAAATATAGCAAACGGAAGTACCATATACCAGGTGTACTTTCACCAATGGATTGTACAATAACGCCTCCGAAATCCTGTTACATTTTACCTTTTTAATCATTCGCTTTATCCACATGCATCATATTTCCGTAGTTCATTCCATTTCATTTCGTTGCATACCCTTTCATTTACTCGCATATGTTTACATTTTCCAAAAAATAAACTCAGCTCCGGAAACTTTGATGCGTGCCCTGGAATTGCTTAACTATTTGGCCGCTCTGGATGATGATGGTAATCTCACTGATCTGGGAAGTATGATGGCCGAATTCCCGCTGGATCCTCAGCTAGCCAAAATGGTAATCGCTTCTTGTGATTTCAATTGCTCGAATGAGGCCCTTAGTATTACAGCCATGCTATCCGGTAGGTTTATCCGTTGATACTAAGTATATCACAGTTACGCTTTTCGACCTCTCTCCCAATCAACTTGTTTACTGTGAACTATGACCGTTGTTTTTGATCATAGTTTTGTATCATATAAGAAACTTTTCAAACTGCTTGCACTTAAGCGATTCGATTCCGCTTCAATCTTACTAATTGAGAACAGTATGAAACCAATGTATTCACTCAACCCGATCATACAGAATGATGGTTTTGTTCCTAATTAGGATGCAATTTTATTAAGGTACTGCTGTTTTAACTTTCGAAGCCCTCGAAACTACCGTTGACGTTCGAAAGTTGGTATCCATTTGGGTTTTCAAGGTTACTTAATACCAGCAGTAATAAAAGTGTATGACATCTTGTGGTTCGGTGCCTTGTGAATGAATGGAATAAAAAAGTGTCTAAAAAGTTCCTTCTGGTTGTGTTTAGTTCATCAACCCAAAGTATGCTGCTAAAAGGTGGATAATGTTTCTCGGTATACGTTTCANCAATACATTTTGGTGTTGAGCCTTCTGCATATTATATCTGTTTCACTTTGATCAGCCTCAACCAGAGACACCCATCCCCGACTATATTGAGGCTTTCTACGTGAATTCGATCACTTGGCATGCAAAGTAGAAACTAAAAGTATAAGACTTCGTCGTTATCACGGTATGGTATATGCACAAAATGAATTTAATAATGATGATATTACAATAAAATGCATCTCCGTCCATTTGAGTAGGAAAGTAAGTCACCACAACTTCTTTTAAAGTGTGCTGCACCCAACCTCGTCTGTGCGTCGTTCTTCAGCATTCTCCAGTATACGTGGTTGATTGCTTGATTCACTTGCCTCACTACTTAGCGCCTCATCCATACCTTGTACACAGATTTTCTGTTCATTTGCTTATCTTTTCCAACTGTATGTGGTGTGGCTATGTATCGAATTTGTCTGAGTTCACCAGCTTGATTCCTTAGTACCCATCCTGGGGATGTAAGTGTGTCTGATGTAGCGGTTATCTTACAGTAGTCGCACCTCTGAGTTGGTGAACCGTTGTGTCTCCTGAGACCATATTCTACCTTATCTTGTCTCTATGGCTTACCCAACTCTCATCTATGGCTCTAAGAAGCTGAGGAATGCATCAGCGGCCACACCTCAACAAAGTGCTTGACACACGGGCTAAACCGCGCTCACGATAGCTGAGGCCTAAAAACTTTGGTATAACGGTATACGGCATGGCGGTTGGGAGAAATGCATTGTCAAGGAAATAGTAAATAAAGGTAATCTGCTCAGCCAACTGGGGCACATAGATCCTTGGACTGAATCCATGCCTATCTATGTTGTCAAGGCAAAAAATATCACCTCCATACAAACATGGTTCCCACAAACTTCATGTTTTCCTTCCCATAATTGGCAGACCAGACCCAAAAAACTTCCCTTGGCCGACCAAGATACGGTCGACTCAACTAACCTTCCGCACCCCGACGAGTTTCTGCTCCGCCACCAACTGCATTGTTTCTACGTTAACTCCCAAGGTTTCCTCAGCAAATTTTCGGAGGTAGAACTGCGTTGCCAAACTGATCAATGGAACATTATTGCGGTCACCGAAATCTGGATGACAACCAACATTCGGGACTCAATTAAGCTTGCCCGGCATGGCCCTGCTCAGACGCGATCGACCTACAAGGGGTGGTGGGGTGTTACTCTACTTTAGCAGCAAACTACAATGGGAGGTAATTGATTCTCTTGCTGCGGCTCCGGACTCACTATGGTGCAAAGTGCGGCTGTCGCAGCGCGATATCGGCTTNGGCTTGATCGGTGGTGTGTAGCGCTCTCCTTCATCCACAGACTCAGCCAATGAGACGCTATTGCAAGCCATGTATAACATGTATAACATGTATAACATTCTGTCAGTGAAGTTCACACATGTTCTCATTATGGGTGATTTCAATTGCCATTTTCTAGCTAAATCAGTTACCTGTCTACAACCGTTTGAGGGGAAACTCGCACAACTTATGGAATACTATCCACTTTACAATTTGTGAAGGAGCCCACGAGGTTTGGAGCCAACCAGTCACCGTCGAATTTGGACTTGGTGTTAGCTAACGAGGAACTGATGGTGGAAACGATTTCCACCACAACTCCATCATGGCGTAGTGATCATGCTGTGTTGACGTTTGACTACATTTGCTATGCTTCCGTACCGCACAATTCTACGGTCAGCTCCTGTATGTTTGTTGACTACACTAGACTTAGAATTTTGGCGAGAGGTTTCCAATGGAAATTTCCCAACGAACAGTGCGATCCCCTGGGATCCTGGGAAGAATTTACAAACCATGTGACGGAAATGGTGAAAGCTGCGACGAACACCAAACGCATCACTTACTCAACTGGTCAACGATCAGCGATTTGAAGTCGCACAGAAAAGTGGATTTCGCAGAGGAATATCCCATGGAGAGCTTATAAACGATCTCCTTGCAACAACACATGGTATACCTACCGTCAGCTCTGAAACCACTGCACCAAGTTGGCGCGAGAAGACAAGTTAATACATCAAGAAGTGCTCATGCGCAAGTTCATATCAAATCCCAAGCTGTTGTACAAACACAAATGCCACCAGAAAAGTTAAGTCTGGCGTTCCAGCGCTAAGAGTGGCAGAACGTGTTTCAGTCACAACAAAAGAGGTAGCTGAAATGCTAAAAAGTCAGTCAGTACACTCGAGTGTTCACCGCAGCTGAAAATACCGGACTACATGAGGAGATATCATATCCAACGCTCATCACAATTGATTTTTCCCCAGAAATCATAGCATCGAAATTGCAATGTTTGAAAAGGAACTCATCTCCAGGGGTAGACAATATCCATCCACAAACCCTTATGAACCTGGCGAGTAACTTAGCTCAACCACTAAGCGAACTATTCCAACAAATGTTCAACAAAACTGTGCTCCCACAAACATGGAAACAAGGGATGATTTCTCCGATATACAAGGGCGGTTGTCTTGGCGACCCAGCTACCGCCCCGTTACTCTCCTCCCCGTATTATCTAAATTTATGCAATCCATTCTTGCAGACAATGTGGTGAGTCACTTGAAAAAATACAATAAGTTATCCCCTGCTCAACATGGGTTTCGTCGCAGGCGATCGTGTACTACTAATCTGCTTCTGGCTCGAGAAGAGTGGACAAAAGCAGCTGATCACGGTGATGCAGTGGACGCTGTGTACCTCGATTTCTCCAAAGCATTCGATCGAGTGAACCACAAAATACTGCTGAGGAAACTACACAATCACGGAATTCGGAGACTTGTACTGAGCTGGATCGAAGAATTTCTTCAACAACGCACCATTGCAGTTCGGGTCTCTGGGTCACTTTCCGATCCCATCAGCATAGCACGAGGAGTTTCACAGGGATCCGTGCTGGACCCTCAATTTTTCCTTGTTTTTATAAACGACCTAACGGACATTCTGGGGCCACAAGCAAAAATGTTTGCAGACGATGCAAAAATATGGAAAAGGGGGACAAAACCAGAGGACTCGCTAGAGCATCAAAGAACACTTAATGCTGCCTATCAATGGTCGATCGAAAACGAAATGGAATTTAATGCATCAAAATGTACGGTCGTATCCCTTCGACACAAAACTCGGTTTCCATATTTCTTTGGAGATCAACAACTTCCGTATGTCTCGAATGAGAAGGATCTCGGCTTCATTGTTCTTTTTGGTGATAGGCAGCTTCGCTGTCGTCCGGTTCAATACCACGCCTAACCTATCGGAGCCTTATGTAGTTCGCCACTCCGAGTTCCGGGGCTTAGGTTGCCGGTTTCCACCACTGAACAGCAGGTCCTCGTGACTATGGGGTTTCCCCCGTCTGCTGTTCAACACACTTAGGTGTGTAATAAAAAAAAGACGACCTAAACTGTTGTTTAAACTGCTCCCGGTCGTCGTCTACCGCTGTAAGACATGTTGGTTTACTAAAACGAGTTTTTGGCAAATTTGAACCTACGCTGTTCCCATGATTGCTATCAGCCTACATTCTACCCCACATAGAGTACGCCAATGAAGCATGGAATCCATGGCTGCAACGCGATAAGAAGATTCTGCAACGTCCATAAAGGGTGGCCATCAAAATGGTCAAGGGACTGCATACCAAGAGTTATGCGGAAAGACTGGAATCACTGCAACTGTACTCCATACAGTATCGCCGTATTCGAGGGGACTTGATATTCGTGTATCAAATAATGCAGGATACAGATCCATGTCGTTCATTCTTCATCTGAGGGTATACTCATTCAAACTAGTACTCCAAAATTGCCGACCAGAACACCAGCGGCATTCATTCGCCCTCAAAGTGTGCATTACTTGGAATTCTCTACCACCACAAGTTTTTTCTACACCAACAAGTGATTCATTCAAGCACAAACTGGATGAAGCTCTGAAAAGTCCTAAATTTCTACATCCGTATAAGTGCACGAAACAGGGACAAATTTTGACATTCATCTACTTTGTATGAACTGTGAATCGATTCGTCTGTGCTGAACCCTATGGGACTAGAAAAGCAAAGATTTGTAAGTATTTCCCATAATAAAGCTTTGACTTTGAGCAGCGCACCACTGTTTTGCAGTTCACACGTGGTCGTGCGAAGGCTAGGGGTGCACCCTCTAAAAGAAATCCAGGTACCAAACTCTCCCGAAACTGCTAGATTTTCTCACAACCCCTTCCATTGGGCTGGTCGTAGTAAAGTCAAGTTTTGGGTGTACTTTGGATAGTAAGTACACGGGTTTACATTTGTTCACATTGAATACGTTTGAAAAAACTGTTTACTGTATAACGGGAAACAAACATTGTGATTGAGAAGTCCGTGCATTAAGCAACAAGGAAGACTCCGGAATAATTGGTTGTCGGTGGTCAAGTCGTTGAATCTATCACAGTCACGTAAGTCTAGTGGAAACTTACTTTTTTCATCGTCATCCCATTGTGGTTTTCTATTCTAGGGCTCTGAGTTGCACCCCTAACTTTACTTTCATTATATTTACCTGATAATTTGCACTTTTTATTTTCTCCCTCCTTCCACCCTAGTTCCTCAATGTTTTGTTCGACCAGCGGATTCGAAGAAGAGTGCTGACGAGGCCAAGATGCGCTTTGCGCACATAGACGGGGATCATCTCACTATGCTGAATGTTTATCATGCGTTCAAACAGAGTACGTTCAGATGCTATTGGTGGTCGTTTCCTGGCCTTGTGTGTATATTGTGACGAGATCAGGATTTTTTCCTTGGGAAAATCATCAAAACTTCCGATCAGTTCACTTCTAGGCCCATTTTTAACTAAAAAACACTCTCTGGCCACTCTAGAGGCATCGTTGGTTCTGAAGTATCTCAATGAAAAAATCGAGGGCAAGTTAGTTTCTTGATCCGTGAATGACTATCTAGTGATATGAACTATTAGACTGGAGTGTTTGCAAGCAACTTTCATCTGTCGTGTCCAGGAGACGTGGTCCGTCTTTGATCCAGTGATTGACTGCATAACATCTGAAGAAGGACATTCCTTGGTACATACACATTTAGGTCAGTTGGTCGATCTTGCGCGGAACTAGTGATGGCATTCGCTTAATTGAGCCGTGTAGATCATACGGTGGTTCCGTTGAGAGGTGTGGTATCAAATTACAATTGGGTGATCTCTGACGATGTTACGGCATTTTTTATCGTTTAAGGTCATCGTTTAAGAGCTGCTGATCACAGTGGTAACAATGTTAATTAGCCTGAAGCAGTTGTCCTAGGCTCTTTAAAGACGGGGACACTACAGGCCCGTTTCTGAATGGATACACACCACGTTTCGGTACATTCAATTAAGGATATTTTTGTTATGTTGTATAG